GGTCCCAGTTTTCGTGGCAGGCGCAGTACTTGGTAAGCCCCTAATTGCTCTTTTCGTGGCAGGCGCAGTATTTGGTGAGCCTCTGGTCCGAGTTTTCGTGGCAGGCGTGGGACAAACGCCGAAATCGTAACGTTGGATTCCAACGTTATGCTTGTTTTTCGTGGCAGGTGTGGGACAAAAGTCGAAATCGTAACGTTGGATGCGGCCAAAAAAAGAATATTATATTCTATTTCAAACCGCGTTCCAACGTTATGATTTCCACTTTTTTGTGAAACTGTCGCCAAAAACGGATCGTAACGTTGGATTCCAACGTTATGATTTTGGTTTTCGTGCGGGGAGTGCTTCGATTTTGGCCGCGCATGCTTTCCTAACAAATCGTAAATCGCATTGGAACTGGCCATCTCATGCTGATTCCAGGATGCTTCAGATTGTCATTTTTCGTGGCAGGCGCAGTATTTGGTGAACCTGTGTTCCCATTTCCTGCAAGAGTTGTAGTACAAAGAAGTGCATTTCTGCAAGCTTTGTAGTACAAAGTCGTACTGGAAAGTACGTTCCTGCAAGCTATTTGTAGTACAAAGTAGTACTGGGGAGTACGTTTCCGCAAGCTTTGTAGTACAGAGTAGTACTGGGAAGTACGTTCCTGCAAGCTTTGTAGTACAAAGTAGTACTGGGAAGTACGTTTCTGCAAGCTTTGAAGTAGTTCTGGCCAGCGGAATATTTCACGCCCAACCACAAGGGTGCCATCGACAGACGCACAGTCTGGGTGGAGTGTTCGAAGAAGGTGTTCAAGTCCGAGGACCGGCTGGCCCATGCAAAACGGAACGTTACAAACGGCCATCCAAAGGAGGCCAACAGCATAATCATGTTCCTATTTTGTTTTGAATGCGATGTTATCAAACATGGTTGAATTCATAAGAGATGTCTGCACTAGTGCTTTGGGACCTTCTGCCTCCTTTGGATGGGCGTTTCCAATGTTATGTTTTCAGTGGGTGTGAGTGGCGCCAGGATTGTTCTTCGAGCTTTTCTGGTGAAAATTTTCCTGCTTCAGCCGGATCTGGCACAGCTGCTGCGAGCAAGAACACTCCTGATGGAAATCTTCCTGCTTCTGTCGCAACTGGCGCAGCTGCATTGCAGGAACCTCTCATGCCATGGCCTTGTGATGAGGAGATTGAGGCAATGATGGACGATGCCTTTGAATTTTCGTGCGACTTTTGCGGGCCCAAAAAAGAGAGCTTCATGTGTTGTGCAGAGAAGCACCCATTACCTTGAAGATGCATCCCTTTTCGGTTTTTGTGATTGGCCCAGCAGGAGTTGTAACCCCATGTTGACTAAGCGCATTGTCCGGGCAATCCAATATATGCTCCATCTTTGCTCGCCGCAGGATGCTGCTGAAGGCGTGATGGCATTGCTGGTCAGTCAATTTGCGCGGGCCAAAAAATGAGACCGCTTTCTGTGCTGCTTTGAGGCTTCCGAAGTATGGCCCCCAGGTGTGTGTGTGTGTGTGTGTGTGTCGCTCGCCGCTTTTTTCAATTTGTCTTGGCAGGAGTTTTTGGAGACCCAGCCATGCTTGCCGTAATATCTGGGCGGGAGAGTGTGACCACTAATCTGGCCAAACTTTGTTTATTTCAGTCAATAAGGTGTTCACAACGCATGGCTCCCTATAGGGTCAACTGTTTTGGTCGTAAAAAGAAGATGTAGCTGAAAACAAAGCGTGATTCTTTATTCTGCTTCGCTGACATTTGGCTATACCCTCTTAGCGAAGGGGTGTCTGTCATGTCCATGAGAGGCTGTGTCAAGAATGCGCAGGAAAACACACAGGCATGATCTATATGATGTTAACTTGTACTTTCTAGTACTTTCATGTCTACGCAAGTGTGGCAAGGGTATATATACACATGGAAACTTGCTAAAAGCTGTGGCCGGGCGCGGCCAAAGGCACGCCGTGGCAGCAGCGGAGCGTTGTGAGGCATTGAAAGCTTCTTTGCATGAAAACAGGTTGCGCTTGCGGAGTTGTGAGCAAGCTGCACGGCGCAACAAGCTGCGCTTGGAACATGGGGGGTTATCAGTAACAGCTGTCAAAAGGGTGCTGGCAGTGTACATGCTTTCTTCGTGGGATCTGGCGACGGCGGAGGAAGCTGCAAGACATTCGTGGGATCTGGCGACGGCGGAGGAAGCTGCAAGACATTTGTCAACGTTACCCCCAGCAGATGTGAATTTCCCCAGCAAGACTTTGGTTCGGCAACTGTTTTTGGATATTGATTTAGACGATCTTCTTTGCATGCATGACGAAGCCAACATGGCTGGGGCAAGGGCTCTGAAATTTGCTCGCGTCTTCCTTGGGGAACAGGAGGTTTGGCGTTGGGTTCATGCACAGAACCTTGCCAACGGCGTGGCTCCGTGTGCAGCAGAAGTGTTTAGCCGCTTTGAATCCTGCAATGCCTGTAAGATTCCAAGTGGGCGGCCTCATAAACGAACTGTGAACAAATGGGTTTCTCGATGGCGTGCTCGTTGGGCCGTGCGAAGGGGGCGCTTGTGGCCGATTGGCCAAATCAATCCGGAAGACTTGCAGCAGAAGGCCTGCAAACTTTGGATGTCAGGTCCTATTTTTGGGACCGCCTGGGAGTCCCGAATTGTGGTCTTGTTAAGTGGGGGAAGCAATTTTGGGGCCCAAAAACGGTCTCAATTTTGGGGCCGCATTTGGAAACAATTTTGTCTGTTTTTGGTGAGACTTCATTGCAAGATTTTTCCGACCATGGCAGATCAATGTCTTCTGGAAGAGCATTTCCTACATCACCGAGAAGGTCACTGGCAAGATTCTTTGGATCAACTTTGACGAGACTTCAATAGCATATTCCCCACTACCGGGGGCGGGGTGCATAGTAAACGCGAAGCATTGGAAGAAACATCCAGAAGTGCCACACATGAAGATCAGAAAGGATCGCCGGCGCGGCGCTTACACATACTGCGCTCTGATTTGCAGTGATCCAAGTATACAACCATTTCTTCCTCATTTCTTGATTAGCTCCCAGACTTGGCTACCGAGCTCTTTGCTGAGAGCGTACAACGCTTTGCCTCGTACGCAGCTGCAAATCATTCGTGGCAAGTCATCTTGGGTCACAGCTGATTGCATGCTGGTGATTTTACAAGCCGTGAAAAAGGCGCTCATGCCTTTTCTCGCAGGCATCTCACCAGTCATAATGTGGGACTGCGCGTGCCCACACCTGCCGAAAACTATTTTAGTAGCGGCAAAGCGACATGGATTTCAATTACTATATATACCAGCATCTACAACAAGTTTACTCCAGCCTTTGGACGTCTTCGCCTTTTGGCGCTTCAAGTCGTACTTGCGTCAGAAGTACCGAGAACAGAGGCAGACAGCTGCAGAGGGGCAGCCAGAACCATTGGCTTGGCTTTGGCAAATTTCGCAAGCACACAAAGAGTGCTTTGCATGCCACAACTGGTCGGGGGCCTTCAAGTCTGTCGGGACCTCCCGGGATGTTTCACATTTACACTCAGCCCTGGCTTCTTTTATGGCACACCCTGTTTCTTTTCCTGCGGCGGGGAAACCGACCAAGGAGGAAGTGCAAATGATCTGGCCGAAGCGGCGAAAGATGGGCTACGCTTATGCGAGCCTGCTTTAAAAAGCTGCTGTTCAGCAGATTGTACTTAGTGAAGCAGGGCATGAAAAGCTGAGATGCGAGTTTGCGTGAGCAAGCTGGGGCACTGTTGTGTGTGTGTGTGCGTTAATTGCCGCACTGTATATATATATATATATTACCAATTGAACATTTCTAACCAGTTGTTACCCAATGAATGACCACTGACATCCGTTTGCTTATTCTTCAGTGGGATGATCGGGATGATCCATGGAGAAACATCGATGGTCATAACTCAGCAAAATATGGGGATGTGTCAAAACCTTGTACCCCTGGTGACCCCCAAAATAGCTGGGATTTATGGATGTTCATCCCACTAAAAATGTATCTATAGGTATTGACCCATAGCCATATGAATCCAATTGAATCCATGGTGGGAAAAATCCGAGAAAATCCATGTGAATACTTCAGGTATTCTGATGATTTGGTGATTCACTGGTGAGTTAAGAGTGGTCCAAATATGTTTTATTCTGATGGTGATTCATTTCGCCAAGATGATTTGCTTGATGTGTAAATCTTGGATTGACCATGTTGGATTAATGGGGGAAATTCTGCGAAATCCTTGGAGGTGGCTTTCCAGTTCGTGGGTAATAAGCATATGAAGTAAACCGAGTTTGTCTGGCTTAGGATGAACATCCAAGTAGTGAATATCACGGTGCAAAAATCATAAAACATCCAATCGCTGGTTGAACATAGGCCCGGTTCTGGCTGGCAGGTGAAACCTGGTGAAACATATTGTGAAATCGAGACAAACATGGATTACCCTCTGGTAATTTAACATAGCTATTGAAAATGACCATTAATAGTGGAATTTCCCATTGAAAATGGTGATTTTCCATAGCTATGTTAATTTACCAGAGGGTAAATGGAAAAATATGTATAGATTATAGATACATCTGGTTTTGAGGAACCGAAGTAGGGGATTCAGATGGTTCTACCAACTAAAACCAACAACATCAGGAGAGGTGCCCAAGAATGGGTAGTTCATGCTTGACCTGTGGTGATCCAAGCTGGCATTTGCGGGGTGAACACTAGAAATGAAATGAAATGACTCGAAGGTGTGATCACCTGGTCAAATCGGTATTGAAGGTATTGTTTTAATATCAGCTCAGACAAACAAATACTTGACAGTGCCAGGATTTCTGCATATGTTATAACCACATTGACAATTTTGGCGGGCTGTGTGGTTCGCAACTCTTGTGATTGCTTTCACGATGGCTGTTTGGATGTCTTACCTGCAAATAGATTAAGAAATCCTTGATCCTTTCTGAACGTTTTCCACGGCAAATTTTGGCAGTGCAACAGTTTAAACTTTGCCTTGCACAGATGCCTCTTGGGACCAAGGAAATATGGAACATGCTGCCAAGCTTCTGCAACAAACTCAGACCTGGTCAGTACAAAGCGCGAAAAAGGTGGGACATGGCCGATGCAGCAAGGGGCCATCGGCAATGTTCGGCAATGTTCGGCAATGGCTGGTTTCTTCATTAGAGACAGTTGACTTTCCACTAGCCATGTGCATTCTTGTACTGGCATTTGAGATGATAGTACATCACAGTGAGTTGAAACAGTTTTGCACTTCATGTTCATTTGTTTCCGGAAAAAAAAAACAGTACCTACTTTAAATATATTTTAATCATCTTCCAATGTTCCCAGGATTTGAATGTCCCCATCATTTCCATCCCATCCCATCAAAAAACCCCGGTCGTTGCTGCTTCTAAACTCCACAGGTCCTGGAGGTTCGACGTCGCTTCCCGCGCTGCTCGGTGCCGGTGGCCCTGGAGGTCCTGCGACGCAACGACGAGGATCCGCACGCCGCCTGCGAGATGCTCGAGGAGTTCCGGCAGCGCATCCGGCGCAGCGTCAGCGCCGAGTGGGATCACTTCCTGCACCAGGGAGAGGTGGGGATGGGGGTGGGGTGAACATGGGGTGATGAAGACCTGGGAGTACCTGGGATTCTTAATGATTCATGTGATTCTTAGGCCCTGGAAGTTGGGAGATAGAAAAAAATCGATGGTTATGTATAATTATATATTATATATATAAGTTCTGTATTCAATTATAACTGGAACTGCGCCCAAAAGGTGAGATGGGGTTGGGGTTTAGGGATATGGGGGAGTGGAAAAACAACGGGAATTCAAGGATATGATCATGAAGAATCATGACTAGCCTTGCAGTCATTGAATTGAATTTGGGCTTATACTTATGGGGATTTAGCTGGGGTCGTGAAGTAGTCCCAAGGCTGGTGGGGTAACAGGGTAACATGGGTGTGGAATGCTCCGTAAAGATAGAAGTTCTGATTTCTTACAGGAAGGGTCATTCAGATTCTGAATTGCTGGTAAACCACCCCCATTCTTGGGCACTCAAATTTGAACGTAATACCTAGGCCTATCGACCCACCCACTGGCACTGGATTGTGAAGGTCAATATTGGAACAATACTACTAGACCAATGCCAACTCAAAAGTTAAACTTAAACTAAACATGTGATGATGGTTGCTGGGGAGAAATCCCGGAAGGTCCCAAGGGTATCCACGGGTCACTGTTTGTGGGTTGGGGGATGACCCAACATATGGCTTTGTTCATAAATGGGAGATATCACAATTCATGGCCACTAAAAGGGGAACATGATCTTCTAAATCAGGGGATGGGTTTGGATTTTCCCAACATTTTCAGACATGCCAGCAATCGTTGGTAGTAGTATCACATTATTACCTGATTATATAACCATATTAAACATATTAAACATATTAAACATATTAAACATATTAAACATATTAAACATATTAAACATATTAAACATGTTAAACATGATGATATTCC